TATATATATATATATATATATATATATATATATATATATATATATATATATATATATATATATATATATATATATATATATATACATATATATATATATATATATATATATATATATATATATATAATTATATATATATATATATATATATATATATATATATATATATATATATATATATAATTATATATATATATATATATATATATATATATATATATATATATATATATAATTATATATATATATATATATATATATATATATATATATATATATATATATATATTATATATATATATATATATATATATATATATATATATATATATATATATATATATATATATATATATATATATATATATATATATATATATATATATATATATATATAGTCTGATACTGGTTAAGCATTTTTAATTATTGATTGATAGAATTGTTTGGAATGGCATATATTTATAACCATTTGTTATTTTAAACATTTGCTTTAAATTCTCTCTAGTGTACTTTTGTTTGAGCATAATTATGTTAAATAACTATGCATAATCTAATAAAGTATTTGATAATTGCATTTAAATTTATAATTGCATCATTTTGCTTAAAACCAATTCCCAATTTTTTCTCCCTGTATTATCTCCATGTATTGACTATTAGACATGAAGGAGTGTAGCTGTATAAATACCATATGAAGGAGTGTAGCTGTATAAATACCATATGAAGGAGTGTAGCTGTATAACTACCATACACTTCTAGTTTAGTAATCTTTTATGCAAGGCAGTTGAATGTTTTAAAAAATTTAGTTTATTATTAAAAATTTAAAAACTATTTTACAAATCTAAATATATAATGTATAAATGCATATATAATCTTAAATTGCATTTTGATAAAATACTTTTTTATTTATAAATGTTGAAATTTTTATAAATAAAATTATATTAACATTTTTATAATTTAATTACAAGTTTATATCTGTTGTCAAGAACTATTCTAGATCGTTTTCGACAGAGTCGAATATATTAGGGCGCCAACAGCATTGACCAGATTTGGGCGCTGCCTGAATTAAAATTTAACAACCTTTTTTTTTATGTTTTTTTACGGTGAATATTGTTTTTTTCGCAAAAAAACGCTGATTTTCCACTTAATTTCTCTGTGACAAGGGTGGGGTACCGCTGCCAAAATTTTTTTTAGAATAACCCCTGATTTGTTATATATTTGTTGTAGTTATGTACTTGTAATATTATTATGTTATAAAAATTAAAAAGATTTTTTTTTACTTCTTATAAAATGTACGTAATCTTAAAAAATTGTTTCGGATTAGGTGGGTGGTATATTTTTATTGAAACATCATGGCCTCGTGTTCAAAATGATACTGCACGTTTGATGAGTGCTAGTATCCCAGCAACAAGTAAAATCTGCTTAGAATTTTGGTATCATATGTTTGGTGATCACATTGGTAATTTGACTGTTTATACTATGGTTCAAAACAAATCAACTGCAGTATGGACAAAAAGTGGTACACAAGGTCAAAAATGGAAGCATGCTGTTATTCATCTTACATCAGCTTCTAAGTTCCAGGTAACTTTAAAATCAAATTAATATCCTATAGTTTTGATACAGTTTTTCAAATATTTGTATAATACAAATGTAAATACACATAAACCTAAATATTTAAGTACTAGCTGTCATAACCCTTAAAATACGGGTGAAGGGGAGTTTATTTCACACTTACCTCTATTTATATACTTATTCAGTTATTTATCTATCCTTTATTTCTTTACTTATGTTTTTTTAATAAATAGTAGAAAAATAATTCATTTAAGTATTTTTCTTAGTGCAAAAAAAAAAATGTGCACACTTTATTAGAATGCTTAAAGCTGATTTAATCTCTTACCCCATTTATCTATTTTGAAAGAAAAAGTCTCAATTAAATGAAAACACCTTCCTACTTTTTAAAAAAAAATCATCTTTTTAATGTCCTAGATGCGCAGATTAACCTTATTGATTGCGTAAACAATTAACATAATTATCTGTAGCATAGTTAACGATGTGTGATAATTCTTGCGGCATTTTTCAAAATTCAAGGCTTAGAAAATAAATTTCAACCATTAATCAAGAAAACATCAATTTTACAAAGCAAATGAGAACCAGGTAAAAAAGTCACGGTTAAATAGGTATGTCAAATCTGCCTCTTACTACAAAATATTTTCAATTTTTTCAATCTGGCAAATATATTTGTTGCAAAAAAATAAATATAGCAAAAAATACTTTTATTTGTTAAAATAAAGCTTTAAGGTTTTTGCTAGCTTCGGGCTATTTATTTATTGCCTGCACAGCAGCACCTTCTGGAGTAGCAGGATGGACTTATTATTTTTTTTCTTTATTATGTTTCAGGCCATAATTTTTTTTTCAGACCATCCACAGCTTATCAGGGCTAATTACCTGAGTACATTAGTAACATAACTATCTAGACATATGAGCAACAAATTTCTACTGGTGTTTTGATGTTTTTATAGATGTTAAGCTTTTTTAAAAATTCTATCTCTTCGTTTTTTACAGTGTATATTATCTTTACGTTATGTATAATAACATCTATTAAACTTCAAAAGTTTGTTATTTTGTATTTCAGAAAAATAAAAAAATAAAAAAAAGGTACCATTTAAACCACAGCATTTTTCTTCTAAAACTCTGCGATTTAACCACTCGGCCACACAGGTGTGTGGTGTCTGACGAAGATTTTGATACTATTTAACAAACAAAAGGCTATAAAAGGAAATAAATATATTGTATATATAATATTAGATCAAAATTAAGGATATGTTGTCGCAATGCAATTTTCAAGTAAGAGTAAAACTGTAAAACTTGATATATGTTTTAACATTACATAGTCTAAAGTTTGATACATTAGATATTTGCATACACTTTCGTTCACATTTTTTTATTAAAAAAGTACAGCAACATTTTCTTGCCATTACCTCAGTTGTAATGGCTGCCAAGAGTTCTGTGTCGAACACGCTCAAAAGGGTTCAAAACTACTATCAAGTCCAGCATTATTATATAGATTTAAATATCATATTTAAATACTTAAGTGCTAAAGCTAATATATCTTTATTTCTTTACTTGACCAAATTTTTCTTGCCAAGTTGTAAAATGTTTTATTTTTATCTTTTTTATAGGTTGTTTTTGAAGGGATTGTTGGGCCGAGTTACAGAGGAGATATTGCACTTGATGATTTAAGTTTGACCGAAGGATCCTGCCCTCCTCAAGGTAAAAAATATTGTTTTTATTTTATTTGAAGACAACTTTTATAAATGGAGTAAAATATAATCCTTTGATTATATGATTTGATATCAATAATTTTTCAGAATTTAGTAAAATAATTTTTTATTTTAATTTAATGAATATTGCTGTGCTAGGAGTTAAAATATTTTTATATTGATTAGTATTGATTTTTAAAGTCAAAGAAATGTATAAGACTGCAAATTTTGTAAAATGCATACATTGTACAAAATAAAGGATTTGTTGAAAAAGACTTCAATATTCACTTAATTTTGAAATTAAATTATAGCTGAGTGTACTTTTGAGGATCCAGATCTGTGCGGCTGGACTAATATTGGCGGCGATGATTTTGATTGGACAAGGGACAATGCTGGTACTTCGTCATCAGGAACTGGACCACAAAATGATAATACTTTTGGAACTGCTGCAGGTTTGGCAAATAAATAATTTTTTTTAAACTTTTTGACAACATGTTTTATCAATATCAATTTACATCATCAGGTATAAAAAATTATGTATGTAACTTATAAAATTATAATTATGTAACTTTCTGAAATTGTAACTAATTTTTTATACCTGATGATGTCAATTGATACACACACACACACACATACACATACATATATATATATATAAATATATATATATATATATATATATATATATATATATATATATATATATATATATATATATATATATATATATATATATATATATATATATGTATATATATATATATATATATATATATATATATATATATACTATATATAGGTTATTATATGTACATCGAGACTTCCACTCCCCAGACAAAAGGTCACAAGGCATGGTTAAAATCTCCTAACTACTCAGCTACAATAGGGCGGTGTTTATCTTTTTGGTATCACATGTATGGTCAAGATATTGGAACTCTTAATGTTTTAATTAATCAAAATGGATCTCGTTCTGCTCCCATATGGACATTATCTGGAGAACAAGGGGGTTTGTGGCGACCTACTCGTGTTACAATCAAAAGCTTTGTTTCTCATAGTGTAAGTTTTTTTTAAATTTATTTTATTTACCTTTTGCATTTATTTAGTATATAACTGATTTTTTTTTCTAAAGATAATATTTGAAGGAATTACTGGTCCTTCATATAGAGGAGACATTGCTCTTGATGATGTTATGATTTCCGAGGGTCCTTGCCCAGATCCAGGTTTTTGTGACTTTGAAAGTGATTTGTGTGCCTACACAAACATGCCATATGGTGATCAATTTGATTGGCAGGTTGGTTCAGGAACTACGTCATCTGTTTTAACTGGTCCAACAACTGATCACTCCACTGGAACTGCTCTTGGTTATTTTTTTTTTAATTTTATTTAGATTGCTTTTCATTTTTGTTATTGTTTTTTTTTTAAATAAACTTTTCCAAAATCATTTTTTGTTAATGGTTTTTAAGAATTAAATATTTTTGTATTTAGGTCAATATATTTTTATTGAGACATCATATCCCAGATTAGCCCACGAGGCAGCAATACTTCGCAGTGAAACAGTTCCTACATCAGGAGATGGAAAGTGTGTTCAGTTCTGGTATCATATGTATGGATCTGAAATTGGAAAACTTGAGGTTAACATGCGTGTTGGCAATGATATCTCTGAAACTATTGTGTGGGAACTAAGTGGTGATCAAGGAAATGTTTGGAAGCAAGGCCAAGCACCCTTTTTAAGTCGAGGGCAAAATATGGAGGTAAAGCAAAACTGTGAATTTTACTTTTGTTACTATAATAGCGCTATGGTCAATTTTATGAAATCATTATGTTTTCCTATAAAATGTTTCAGATTCGTTTTGAAGGAATACGTGGTTATGGATATAAAGGTGATATTGCAATTGATGATATAACTGTTACAAATTTTGCTGGATCATGTCCAGTTCAACCAACACAAGCTCAGCCTTGGGGTTGCAATTTTGAGCTAGGATTTTGTAAATGGACGCAATCAAATAAAGATGATTTTGATTGGACTTTAAACAAAGGTCAGACATCATCAGTAGGAACTGGACCAACAGTTGATCATACCACCAATACAAGTAATTTTAAAATTTATTTTTAATATATCATAACTTAAATTTAAATTTCAAATTAAATTTTTATTTAAAGACTAAACTTGTCACATTTAAATTTGAGTTAAATTTGAAATTTAATTTTTCCATTCAAATTTCACTCCACTTTACAGAACATTCTAATATTAAAAAGTAATATTCAGCTTTTTACATATTTTATTATTTTAGCCAAGGGAACTTATATTTATCTTGAGACATCATGGCCACGTAAAGAAAATGATACAGCAGCGCTGATAAGTCCAATAATTCCTGGTAATGGTACAAGAGCGACATATTGTTTATGGTTTGCTTATCATATGTATGGTCCTCATGTGGATACCCTAAAAGTGTATACACAATCACAAGGCCAGACCAGACCACCAATTTGGATTAGAAAAGGTTCAAAAGGACCAGAATGGCGCCATGCTGAGGTTTCAGTTGATGTTTTGTATGACACTCAGGTAACTTATGTTATATATTTTTTGTAACATCATTTTTTACTTATACAGTACTTTTAAAACACAATTTTTGTAAATTTTTCACATTGAAGGTAATAATTGAAGGAACACGTGGTACAGATTACAAAGGGGACATTGCAATTGATGATATAGATCTTTGGTGGGGTGACTGTTATACATCAGGTTTGCTGTTTAATTCAATATTCTTTTTTAAAAGAATTTTTAAACAAAAACTGAATCCTTCAATTATTTTTTTTAGGAGTTTGTACATTTGAAGGTGCTGACATTTGCTTTTGGTATGTGGATACATCAAAACAGCTTAAGTGGGAACGAGCATCTGGTTCAACTTCTAGTGTTCAAACTGGTCCTTCAAACGATCATACATATGGTACTGATCAAGGTAAATGCACCCATATTATAAATATACTTAAATAATATGGTACAAAATAAAAATAATATACTTACATAATATGATATAGAAAAAGTATTGAGCGGTAAATACTATATAACTTGGTGTTTAGGACATTACATGTACATAGAGACCTCAAATGCTCCTCCGAATACGGAAGCTAGAATGTATAGTCCGTGGTATTACAATTTTGGGCAAAGTTGTGTTCAGTTTTTTTACCATATGTACGGAGTACAGGTTAATGAGCTAAATATTTTTATAAGATATGCTCAAAATGCCAATTCTTACTTAATGTTTTCTAAAGTTGGCAATCAAAATAATACATGGCGACTTGGGCAGGCTTCAGTTTTAAATGTTGGTTACTTTCAGGTATGATTTTTATAGTAATAAGTAGTATTTTAAAAATATTTATATTAAGTAATAGTATTTGAAAATAGTAAAAATAATAAAATAAATTCTATTTAGATTATTGTTCGTGGTGTTAAAGGGCAGGGTTACCAAGGTGACATTGCTGTTGACGATTTCCGTATTCGAGAGGGTGCATGTCCTGCAGTTGGAAACTGTGATTTTGAACATATAGATTTCTGCTCTTGGGAGCAAGAAAACTCTGATCATTTTGATTGGATAATTGGATCAGGAGCTACATCTTCTACTTTTACTGGTCCAAGTACTGACCATACTACTCAGACAAATGGAGGTTTGTTCTCTTTTGAAAATGCTCTTTTTAGTTATATTTAGTCTAAATGAAAATAGAAACATGTTTCTCTCTCTCTCTCTCTCTCTCTCTATATATATATATATATATATATATATACATGTTTCTCTCTCTCTCTCTCTCTATATATATATATATATATATATATATATATATATATATATATATATATATATATATATATATATATATATATATATATATACATGTTTCTCTCTCTCTCTCTCTCTCTCTCTCTATATATATATATATATATATATATATATATATATATATATATATATATATATATATATATATATATATATATATATATATATATATATATATATATATATAGAGAGAGAGAGAGAGAGAGAGAGAGAGAGAGAGATAGATAAATAGATAGATAGATAGATAGATATAGATATATAGATATATTATACATTTTAAAAATAAAATAACTTATATTATTATATTTTTTTTGATTAAATTACTAAAAATATTATTATGCAAAAATTTAATTTTTTTAATAGGCTATTATGCATTTATTGAAAGTTCCTCTCCACGTGTTGTTGGGGATAAAGCTTCCTTAAAAAGTGAAATATTTACACCAACTCCTGTCAACGGAAGATGTTTTAGTTTTTGGTATCATATGTATGGCGCATCAATTGGAACATTAAATGTTTATATTCGAAGCTTAAACCAAGGTGTGTACATTTTTAAAAATTTATAAGCTTATAGTTTTATTATACAATTTTCAATCTTGGCTTATTATCAAAGTTTTTGGTTTCTTGAAGGAAATTTTATTGGAAATGAAATAATGTGGCAATTGATTGGAAATCAAGGTAATCAATGGTTTCAAGGACGCATGGGACTAAATGTACCAACAGATTATCAGGTGAATTTATATAAGACTAAGTGTCATTTGTTGATATTTATTGATAATTTGATAATGTAATTTTGATGATATTGTTGTAATTGTTTTAATGTTGATGATGATCACCTAATTAGTGTGTTGTTTTGATAATGTTGTTGACAATAGATGATACTATTCTCAAATTTAAATTGTATCATACAATTTAAATTTGAGAATAGTATCATTACATACACTATTATTTTAGCAATATATTTTAATAGGAAATATTGCTAAAATATTTTTTTCCAATATTGTCCAATAAAATTTCAAATTCTCTTTTAAATCTTATATAGACTATAGTTTAAACCAACAAAATTGTAAAATATGTTCACAAATCTAGAAAAACTAAGAATAAAAAATTAAAATGGGTAAATCTATATATTGTATTGATCCAGTAAAAAAAAAAAAAAAAATCATATGGTTCATATTTGTGCTCAAACTGATCCCATGGGCATTGACTAACTGTAGATAGTATTTGTTTTTATTATAAACTTTAGGGTGGCTCATCTTTCACATATATAAAATAAGAAAAATGTAATAATGGGTTTTGTCTCATAAAGTAAGGAATTTTTTTCAAATGTTCCATACATACCTATTCATTAGTTTTATGCATAACCTTTTGTTTGTATAAAATTTGTCAAAATACAACATTTTTCCATAGTTTTCATTTCTATTATAAAAAATAATGCAATTTTGAAAATTATAAAAACCCATTTTTTGGAGCAAGAAGTTTTTTCCACATAAAATTTTTTTATATTTTCTCCAAAAAATGCACATTAAAAAAAAAAAAAAATTAGTTTTGTTAAAAAATTAAACTAATGCAGTAAAGAGATATTTATATATTTATTATATATATATAGGGTTATTAATACTTTTAGGGTAATTAATACTTTTATCACAAAACCTATTTAAGCAGTTCCAGTTTATTTAGATTGTGGTTGAAGCCATTCGTGGTGCAAGTTACACTGGAGATATTGCAGTTGATGACTTTGAGTTTACTGTTGGAAGTTGCTCATTATTACCAATTAAAGCTTGGCCTCCTGGTAAAACAACATTGGCACCTACTCCTGCTATAACAACCTCAGGACCAACTGCTGGTAAACAACTGTTTACTTTCAAATTTAAAATTATTATATAAAAGATAAATTGAAAATATATCATAAATAGTATATTTGGTTAAATGAATATAAATTAAATATACCTTATATAAAAATGAACTTAGGTAACCAAGGGAATGATTGTAACTTTGACATTAATACATGTGTTTACTCAACTAATTCATCATCTAAAACATTCAATTGGTTACGACACCAGGGACCAACAGACTCTTATGGTACAGGTCCTCGTAATGATCATACAACCAATTCAGGCAAAGGTTATTACATGTATGTTGATGCATCATCTCCTGCTAAAGTTAATGATTCAGCTTGGCTTGTACAATCTGGTATTAACAATAATAATGGTTTTTGCGTGAGTTTCTGGTATCATATGTTTGGGCCCCATGTTGGAACTCTAAATATTTGGCTTCTGGTATTTGTTTTTTATCTAGTTAATTATAACTAGTTTCAAATTGAAAAAATTACTAAAAATGATTTTAATGCTTTTCTGTAGTATTAATTTTTTTTTTCATGCATATTTTCTTTGTAATTTTATTGACTTTGTAATTTTTTTATATAGTTCCCTTCTCAAGCTCAACTTAAATGGAAACGCATGGCTTCACAGGGTGATAAATGGAAGCATGGACAAATATACATTCCACGCAAAGATGGATCCCCTTTTACAATTGTTTTTGAAGCTATACGTGGATCAGGTTATGCTGGTGACATTTCTTTAGATGATATTACTTTTGTATCAACAGACCAAGGCTGTCCTGGTGAACGTATGTTATTATTTTGTATTTATCATCTTGTATCTAGTTTTTATTTATTATTTTTAAGTTTATGGTTTTTATGTTTGTTATAGGTGAATGTACATTTGAAGCTATTCAGTGGCCAGGGTCAGGTGTTGCAGATTTATTGTGTGGTTGGACACAAGAAAAAGTAAAAGATAACTTTGATTGGACAATTACAAGTGGTAGCACAAGTTCCGCTCAAACTGGACCAAGTACTGATCACACACTTAAAACAAGCCAAGGTAATTTGTTTTGTTTTTTGTTTTTAACTAAAAAAAAAAAATTTTTTTAATAATTTTTTTACTTAATTTGAATGTTTTTATCTCTAATCAGGACGTTACATTTACATTGAAACATCATGGCCACAAAAAGCAGGGGATAAAGCAATGATTATATCTCAATCATATACAGCAACTCGTGGTCAGTGTTTTACATTTTGGTATCATAAATATGGGAGCACTGTCAGTAATTTCACTTTATATACACGTATTGATAACATTGATACACCAATATGGTCAAGAGGAGCTTATGATGAAGGAAATGTCTGGCGTCCAGCTTTAGTGACAATTAAATCACCCCTTAAACCTTTCCAGGTGTACTTTTGCATCTTTTTTTTTTTTTTTAATTTTTGCATTCATGTTTTTCTTTTCCTAAAGTTTTAAAGAAAAACTAATTATAATGTAAATTTTAATTTTAATTTGCAGCTGGTTTTTGAAGCATTTGTTGGGTCAGGTTTCACAGGAGACATTGCCATTGATGATATTTTATTGCAAGATGGTGAATGTCCACTGCCAGGTTAATAATAAAATTTAAAAAGTATAAATATAAAAACAATCTATTAAATATTTAGTTATTAATATAATTAAAAAAAAATTTTTTTTATATTTTTGTTATTTAAAGTATGATATTTATTACATTGTTATAATAATTTAGGTGATTGCGATTTTGAAGATTTTGAGAGTTGTACATACGAGCAGGAACCAACTGAAGATAACTTTGATTGGATAAGAGGAAACGGTGAAACTAGTAGTTGGAGAACTGGTCCAAGTAAAGATAATACAAAGAATGATAAATCAGGTTTAAAAACATTTTTATGTCTTAGTAAAATTTGTTTAAAATTTATTTAAGAATAATTATGCATTTTGTTTTATTTACTTTTGCTATTTACTTTTAATTTAATTTATTTTTATTTTTTAGTATATATATACTTTAATTACATTTTTATAAGTTATGCATTTTTTTTATAAATTATGCATTTTTTTACAGGGTCTTATTATTATATTGAGGCTTCATACCCACAGAAAAAGGGTGACAAAGCTCGCATGACAAGTGAGCTGTTCCGACCAACCAATCGATTTGGCCGCTGCTTGCAGTTTTATAGACACTTGTATGGTGCCTCTATTGGAACTCTTAATGTTTATGTAAAGTATGGTGCTGGAAATTCATCTGATGCTGAAACATTAATATGGTCAGATTCAGGAAATCAAGGGGATTCTTGGATTCAATCACAAGTCCCAGTCTATAGTAGTAGCCCTTACAGAGTATGTTTTTTTTTTTTTTTAATTTTCATGTTGACTTTTAAAATAGGGTTGTAAGACTTAAAATAAAGATCTTTTTTTTACCTGTTCTTTTGTCCATTACTTTTTTTTTGATTGAACCTGTGAAACCTAAAATATTTAATCCATTATTTTTTTATTTATGACATTTTTTTAAAAGTTATTATAACTATAATTTACTATTATTTTTTGGAGTAGCATTTTTTTAAAGATGGTTTCTTGTCATATAAGAATTGAAACATTGTGTTTTAAATGACAAATTTTAGTACACTATAACTTCTATTTTTCTTTGAAGTAAAAATTATACAGATAAAGAATTTAATTTAAGTTTATTGTAACTTACTATATTAAATATATATATTTGTTTTTATTTTAATTTACCTCCCCAAGGCAAAAAAGCCACTACAGGTGAGGAGGCTACTAAATTGTGGGTATAACCCACTCTCAACCCTATAACTCCGAAACACAAACCTTGACGAACAAGTCTTTGTAACTTACTATATTAACTTACTATATAACTAGTATATCTATATCAATATTGATCTTTTAATTTCACTTTGCTGTAGCTTGTATTTGAAGCAGTTGTTGGCTCATCTTACACTGGTGACATTGCAATTGATGATATTAGCTTCAACAACAACTTTTCTCCTTGTACATACATTCCTCCCAATTCTCAGCCACCAACTGTTCCACCAACTACTATAACACCATCTGATAGTAATTGTACCTTTGAAACTCCATGTCGTTGGAAACAACTAACTACTGATAACTTTGATTGGACCTTTATTAGCGGAGCAACAGGTACTTATGGTACAGGACCACTTGGCGATCATACCACTGGAAAAGGTTATTTTGGCTTTTTTCATCATACAATTGTTTTTATCAAATATCTAAAAAGTTTTAAATAATTTAATACTGTTTTTTCTTATACATTCTGTTAAAAAAACTGAAAAATATTAGAGGTTCACAAGATTATTTAATTGTAAAATGTAATTTATGAGTTTTTACTCTCATAAATTTTAATAATTTTCTATTATTTTCAATGAATTATTTGTAATTTCTAGGTACTTATGCTTACATTGAAGCAAGTTATCCTCGTAAACCTAATGACACAGCAGTTTTGCGTAGCCCTCCTATTCGTGCTACACTTGGTGCAGTTTGTTTTTCATTTTACTTTCATATGCATGGTGCAGATATTAACGCATTAAATGTATATTCAGTATATAATGGAGTGCGAACAAAGTATTTTTATGATTATTATTTTATTCAATTTGTTCAATTGTTTTTGTTTTATTTCTATTTATTTTTAAAGCATCATTTTAACTTTTTTTCTTTATAAAAAGGGTATGGACACGTTTTGGTACACAAGGTAACAGGTGGCGACATGGTCAAGTTAACATCCGTGGAATTTCATCTATATTTAATATCGATATTGAAGGTGTACGAGGGATAAGTTATGAAGGTGATATTTCAATTGATGATATTGTTGTATCTGATGGTAAATGTCCTCCAACACGATATTGCGATTTTGAAAATGGAAATTGTGATTGGGAAAATATTTTAACAGACAAGTTTGATTGGACACGATCTAATGGTGGAACATCTACCTTTGGAACTGGTCCTTCAACTGACCACACTACTGGCACTGCTCTTGGTAAGGAAAATGTATATATATATATATATATATATATATATATATATATATATATATATATATATATATATATATATATATATATTCTGTAGTAAAATGTTAAATACTAGCCTTGCTTATTTTTTTTTTAATTTGTTTTGTAGGTTCATATTTTTATATTGAAACTTCTTATCCACGCAAAAGAAATGATAATGCTATTTTACGTAGTCCACTTTATCCAGCCAACTCTAAAGGTAGTTGTTTTAACTTTTGGTACCACATGTATGGTCAAGACATTGGTTCATTAAATATTTATGTTGGTAAATTGGGATCTGTTCCTGCTTGGAATCTTACAAGTGATCAAGGGAATGTTTGGAGACACGGAAGAGTAACAGTCCAAAGTCTTGTCTCATTTTATGTAATTTTAAATTTTGTTATTATTTTTGAGATCAAAATATTTACTTTATAAAAATATACGTACAAATAGTTATGTGTTTACACATATAACTATAATTTTTATAATGTAATTAAATTTTTTTTTTATGGTTACATTGGTTTTTAGATATACATTGAAGGAGTTGTTGGAAAGAGTTTCCAAGGTGACATTGCTATTGATGATATAATGATCGAAGACTATCCCTGTCCTGCTCCAGGTATGTTCTTTTACATTGTGTTTACTTAATGAAATTTGATAATGAAAGAGTTTGAAAGGAAAGATAATTTTTTTAATTTGTTAGTCAATATAAGAGTGAAAAGTATATAAATTATGATAGAATATATAAATTATGTTATTTTAAGTCTAAGTTTAAAAATTAATAATTTCCACTGATCCATTTAAAATAGTTTCTGCTTTACCATCAGCAAAGGCAAAAACAGCTAATTTGATTTCCTTTGAATTATTCTTTAAATTTAAATTTTCTGACTTAGAATAAATAGGTTAACATAAATTTCAATAAAAAAACTTTGTTAAACAACAAGAAATCATTGTGACATCAAAAACTAATTAAAATATATTTAATACTGTTATATTATATAATATTATTAAAAGGAAAATTTCAAATAACTGTTATTATCAAGGAACATTTACTTTTTTTTCTAGAACAAAAATAAAATGCTGTCATTATCATTATCTTTTAGAATTTCAGTTTTTTATATATATATTTTTTTATATATATATTTTTATATATACATTTTTTATAAATTTTTACATTTCACTGCTCATCAACTGATAAATAAAAATCTTGTTTTAAGGTTCGTGTGACTTTGAATCACAAAGTTTTTGTGGATGGACTCAAGTTCTTAACAAGAAAAATACTACTGGTTTTGATGATTTCGACTGGATACTTAATAGTGGATCTACTCCATCATGGTCAACTGGACCTTCTGTTGATCACACAAAAGGAACTGCTCTTGGTAACATTTAAAGATCATTTTAAGATATTTAAAAAACTATTTTTCTAATATTCAAATTTAGTTTTTTTAAAATATTTTATTCATTTTATTAGGTACTTATGCATTTATTGAATCATCTGGCATTCCATCTGGTTCACGTGCCCAGCTTATTAGTGAAATTTTTCCAGCAACAAAAGGCAATTGCTTGTCATTTTGGTACCACATGTTCGGTGATGGTATTGGGTCAATTAACTTCTATATTAAAACAATCTCTGGTAGTCCAGCTGTTGTCAAATCTATTGAGGTGCTTTTTCTAGATTTATATTATTAAATATATTATTATTATATATATTAATGGTACATTAAATATATATTTTTACTGTTAATCTTTTTTTGTATTTTAGGGTAACCAAGGGGATAAATGGATTCAAGGTGAAGTTGGTCTTCATTCACAAAATGCTTTTTCTGTTATAATAGAAGCAGTCCATGGTAGTTCTTATACAGGAGACATTGCTATTGATGACCTCGAGATTTTGAGTGGAAACTGTGTTGGTACTTGTTCTTCTATTAAACCAACAGCTCGAGTTGCTTGTGGTCCTGGTAGTGTTACCCCAGCTACTTGCACAATATCTTATGGTTGTTGTTATGATGACTCAGTACCTAATGTTCCTAAGTGCTTTCAACATCCTGCAACTTGTAATGCTGTTCCAATTATTTCGCGTCAACAGTGTGGTTTTAAATCTATTTCAAAATTAGAATGTGGTAAACTGGGCTGTTGCTATGATAGCTCAACAAGTAATGGAATTCAATGCTTTTTCTCACTCAGCAACCCAACAGATTTCCCACCAACCATTCCACCTACAACAGAAATACCGCCATCAATTTATGACTGTTCATTTGAAACAGGCTTATGTGGGTTTTTAAACATAAATGCAACTGATAGTTTTGACTGGACAAGACATAAAGGTGAAACAGGAAGTTGGGGTACTGGACCAACTGCAGATCACACTCTTGGTACCAAGGATGGTATGTTACCACTTTTATATACTATTTTATTAATATCATACCATGGTTGATAGTTTAATACCATGAGCATGGCTTTAGAGATATTTTCTTTTACTATTTACTTAATTTTTAGGATATTATATTTACATTGAAACATCATTTAATAAAGAAAATGACACAGCCAACTTAGTTTCACCTTTTATTGATTTTCCACCATCAAGTCCAATAGTATGTGTACGTTTTTGGTATCATATGTATGGACAGCATGTTGGCAGCTTAAATGTTTTCCATAAGACAACAGCAAATATGCCTACTATTCCTGTATGGACTAGAAGTGGTGCGATGGTTAATGATTGGCTATACGGTCAATTTGTTGTACCAAGTGGAAAGTTTCAAGTATATATTTTTGAGTTATTATCAAAATTTATTTATCTGAATTTCCTATAAATTTTCATTTTTTTATTTGAAAAATGTGTTTATAGGTTGTGTTTCAAGGAAAGCGCGGACCTGGTTACCAAGGTGATATATCACTAGATGACATTAGCTTTTTTAATGGAGCTTGTCCACCTCAAAGTAATTTTTTTATTTCTAATTTAAAATGATGCATTATATTATAATATTTATAAATATTTTTTTAAATGTGCATAATAGTTATGTTATTATATTAAATGCTAATTATATTTAATATTTCATTAAATTTATTATAATTTTTATAAATTTATAGTAATTTTTATGAAATTTTCAATTTTCTCTTATGGTATATGAAGTTAGGCTTTTTAATTTTGTTTATTTTTAAAAGGATTTTGTGATTTTGAAAACAATGACTTGTGTGGTTGGATCCAAGATGCATCTGATAATTTTGATTGGACAATTGGATTTGGAAATACCACAAGTTGGGATACTGGTCCAAAGTCTGACCACACATATGGAACACCTACAGGTAGTTAATTAGTAACAGTTTGATTTTTCAAATTAATTTTTATCAAAGACTTAATGTGTTTAAAGTGACTGTCATTTTTTTTAGGTAAATACTTATTTATTGAGGGATCATGGCCACGTCAACCTGGAGACAAAGCTAGAATTGAGTCATACAGTAGAGCTCCGACTGACGGAACCTGTTTTGAATTTTACTATCATATGAAAGGGGTTGGTATAGGAACTCTAAATGTTTTTATTCGGCGTGGAAAGATAGTTGATGCCTTACCTCTCTGGACTCTTTCTGGTGAGCAAGGAGATGAATGGTTTAGAGCTACTATGAATGTTAAGGAGCCCATGCAAGAATGGAAGGTATGAAGTTAAATGATTTTAAAAAGAAAATTAAAAAAAAAAATTTTTTTTTTCATTTTTTTTTTTGAAATTTCCATGTTAAAGTTTACTTTTCAATGAATTTTCATTAAAATTTTATAATTCTTTTAATTACTTTTTATTGCTTTTTTGATTAAATACTAATTTTGTCCATGATTATTCCTTCCTTAAATATATAGCATTATTCAGTTATAAAGATTTGACACTAGCAAAAAAAGTTTTCTCAATAGCATTTTTTTTTTTTTATATATTTAACTTTATCGGTAAGAATTTACAAATCTCATCGTAAATTAATAGAATTTGGTTAGGTGTCACTCATATAGTTACAAACTAGTTAATGGAGTGACACCTAAAAAACATAAAATTCTCGATATATATATATATATATATATATATATATATACATATATATATATATATATATATATATATATATATATATATATATATATATATATATATATATATATATATATATATATATATATATATATATATATATATGTATATATACATATATACGTATATATATATATATATATATATATATATATATATATATATATATATATATATATATATATATATATATATATATATAATTTTATAATTCTTTTAATTACTTTTTATTGCTTTTTTGATTAAATACTAATTTTGTCCATGATTATTCCTTCCTTAAATATATAGCATTATTCAGTTATAAAGATTTGACACTAGCAAAAAAAGTTTTCTCAATAGCATTTTTTTTTTTTTATATATTCAACTTTATCGGTAAGAATTTACAAATCTCATCGTAAATTAATAGAATTTGGTTAGGTGTCACTCATATAGTTACAAACTAGTTAATGGAGTGACACCTAAAAAACATAAAATTCTCGATATATATATATATATATATATATATATATATATATATATATATATATATATATATATATATATATATATATATATATATGTATATATACATATATACGTATATATATATATATATATATATATATATATATATATATATATATATATATATATATATATATATATATGTATATATATATATATATATATATATATATATATATATATATATATGTATATATATATATATATATATATATATATATATATATATATATATATATATATATATATATATATATATATAATATATATATATATATATATATGTTTATATATATATATATGTATATATATATATATATATATATATATATATATATATATATATATATATATATATATATATATATATATATATATATATATATATATATATATATATATATATAGTTGAATAGTTTTATTTAAATAAAGTACTTGTGTTGTATTTGTTTTTGCTGTTATTAACTATATGTAATTTCTGCTGTAATTAACTATAGGTAATATTGAAATTAACTATAGGTAATATTGGAAGGAATTCGCGGTGCAGATTATTATTCTGATATTGCAATTGATGATCTTGTATTCCATAATGGTGAATGTGTACCAGTTGGTGATTGTGATTTTGAAGATGGAAATGCTTGTGGATATCAAAATGATCCCTCTAACAAAGTTGATTGGTTAGTATACACAGGGCCAACACCCAGCCACAACACTGGGCCATCAACAGATCATACAACAGGTCTTCCTACAGGTAAAAATACTTTGAATAAAATTAATAACCTAAAGGTTAGAGTTGTCTAATTTTTGGGCCAAATAATTTATATATAAAGTAACTTGTATATATAATATATATATATATATATATATATATATATATATATATATATATATATATATATATATATATATATATATATATATATATATATATTATTTTATATATATATATATATATATATATATATATATATATATATATATATATATATATATATATATATATATATGTATATATTAAGATTATGACTTTTTTCTAAAATCATAAATTTTAGAAAAATTTTGTCATAAATCTATAAACTTTTGTCCAAAAAATATGAAAAGTATCTAATTTGATTCCCTTGTTAAAAAAGTTTCCACTTACATTAAAAACTCAATTTGACTATATATGGCTGTCTAAAAACTATTAAAATTCACTTTATTGACGTTTTACTAAAAAGAAGCGTTTTTTTCCTTAAAATAATTATGTTCTTTACTTAATAAGTAAAAGTTAAGTTGTAACTCTTTTTCTTCTATTTCCTTAAAGAATATTGTTTAAAAATTTTTGAATTAGTTAAAGTAATTGCAACATGGAGTCATGGGTTTGTGTTCTCACATAAAGATAGCATTCAGGAATTTGAGATTTCACAGGTCTGGAATTAAAAGCTAAAGTTAGGATTCAATATTATACTGCAATTATATTATATTAAAATATATGATATAAAATCTTGATAAGCATATAACATTTTAAATAAAACTTAAAAGATTGCTTGTAGTCCATAGTAAGATCTTTGGAGTTTTATTTTTAAACAATATAATTGTTTATCTTGCAGACTAGATATATTACAGAAATATCTTGATTGTTTAAGCAAATAACCAACTGTCAGCAATTTTGTGAAAAACATGTTAACTACAATAAGTAGAAGAAAAAAAAGATAATATTGCTCTGGAATTCCATCTTTCGTTACTTAACTTAAACATTTGCTAAAATATCACTTTAGGAAATCTTTCATTTTCTTCTAAAAATTAAAAGCCTCAAGTTAAATAAAATTAAAACTTTATCTCATTAAGCCATCTGCTGTTTCCTCGTTTTTCAGAGATAAAGAGTATTCAATATACGGCAATATTTTGTTGCTTCCAGATTTTTTACACGGAGTATAGATTATTTGTGAAGTAATAGATTTAGAGAGATGAATTGTGGTTCTTCTGATTTCTTTTTAACAAACATCTTTTGAGGTTTAATGACAATCCCATTTATTTGTCCACTCTTTACATTTATATTTTCAGTAACAACCATCTTTCTTTCTTTCAGAAAAATTATTTACTTTCTTTTTTTCATTTTTTTTTAAACAGTGGAACATAAAAGTTCATTAAAAAACTAATTTTTAGGTCAATATTTGTTTATGGAATCATCTTATCCTGCTCAGAGAGGAGATATCTCACGGTTTGTTAGTGAAAAGTTTAAAGTTAATCCAAACTTTAAATGGTGTATTGAATTTTGGTATAACATGCATGGAAATGGAGTAGGAGCATTAAGAGTGAGGACAAAGTAAGTTTTTGTTTTGACATATTTTTTTGTTTTGTATTTTTTTCCCTAATCAAAAATTAATTGTTAATCAAACTTATTTTTTGAAATAAATAAACTATGAAAAGTTATAATCTTATAATCTTTGTTTTTGCTTTTCTTCTTTGGAAAATCTCTTGTAGTTATTTCGATTAAGATAATGATTTTGAAAAATTAGGCTCTTTAAAAAAATGATATTTTGCAAAAAACAATATATTTAAAGCTCCTTAGCAACCACCCTTAGCAACGTTATTCCTTGGAAGATTATAAGTTTATTAAGAATATTTATATTTAAAATATTAATTATTTTATTTGGTTTAATTTATTTACTTTTTTTTTTGTTTGGTTTAGATACAAGACTCCGTATTCAAAAGGCGCTTATTACTATTCTTATCCTTTATTTTCAATGGAAGGCAATTTGGATGACCTCTGGCACTTTGGTCAAGCCAACATCACTAGTTCTTATGATTTTCAGGTATAACTAGATTTAACTTTAAACTTTTATTTTTGATTTGTTGTTTTTTGTTTAAATTGTATTTTCAATATGAATTTTAGATTGTATTTGAAGGAGAAGTTGGTTCCGGTGTCACATATCAATCAGATATTGCTCTAGATGATCTTAATGTTACACTAGGCCAATGTGATCGTAAGTTTCATTTCTTTAAACAGAACTTATGAAATTCTAGTATCTTATAGTTAAATATATATATATATATATATATATATATATATATATATATATATATATATATATATATTATTTTATTGTGTTCTTATAGAAAAATCTTAAATATTATTTTATTTATTGATTATCTTATATATATTATATATATTTATATATTGATAATCTTATATATATTTAAATAATATAAATAAAAATTCATATAACTTTCATCTAAAATTTAAATTAAAATGTTAACAGTAACTGTTATTTTATTTAAAATTTCAATATTATAAAAACGTTTTGCTATTATAAAAATGTTAGTAAAATAAAAGCTTCGAAGTTATTTTTTTTTGACGTGATTAAAAATAATTTTTTTCAGCACATTTTTAAAATGTTAAAAACCGTGATCAAATCATCAAAATAAAGTATTATTTGCGTGGTCATATAATGGTGTGCGATCGCACGCCTTATATGACCTAACCTGACCAAGCCTATATATATATATATATATATATATATATATATATATATATATATATATATATATATATACATATATGTATGTATATATGCAGGCAGGGAATGAGTACACAAGCAGCGAAAAGTCTATTTATTCTGTTTATTTAAAACATTCAAAACTGATTTACTCTGGTGTTATGGTGCAGCAATATTCAAGCTGAGGATGTATATAAATACATTTTTTTAATATTTATTATTTTTCCCATAAATTTTAGCACCTGCACCTCCTCCTACTCCTATACCATGTCTCAGAAAGTGTAAAGATGGTACGTGTATTTCTAGTGATAAGGTATGTGATTTTTATCCTGACTGCGCTCAGGGTAAAGACTCAACAGATAATACAGATGAAGATGGCTGTGATGGTTGCGATTTCGAAACAGGTATAACTAAATAAAAAATAATTTTTTTTCATTTAGTATTATAAATATGTAATAAATAGTTTTTAATGTTTATTTAGTTCCAATAGTTTTAAATCATTATTGCCATAGGCTATCTGAATTTGTTATGTTGCTGTGTGAGATGTTGTTGTGAATTAATAAAAACTAATAACATATTAATAATATTATAGGAGTGTGTGGCTGGACAAATAATACTAAAGGATTATTTAGCTGGAGAAGACAAGCTGGAGGAACAGCAACTGCAAACACAGGACCAACTACAGATCATACTAAAGGTAGCAATTAAAAATCTGTTAGCAAGGTAGCAATTTGAAATCTGTTCTAGAAACCGGCAAGAAATTAATACAATAATTAATATATATTTTAGGGACAAATGCTGGCTACTATCTCTATGTAGAAGCTTCGCTAGGCAAGTCATTTGAGTTAGCTACATTTAGTAGTCCTCAAATTAAACAAGCATCGTCAACATGTGCTATTAGCTTTTGGTATCATATGTATGGATCTAGCATAGGAGAACTAGTTGTGTCAATTGTTATTGGGTTTAGGTTAACAAAAGTTTGGGAAATGTACGGAGATCAAGGTAAAGTATTTTTAATGGCCTACTTATAGTATACAACCTAATATTCCGCATTTTTTCTGAAAAAACAGAAGGCCATTTAAAAAATAAAAACGCTATAAAATCAAAACAAACAAACAAATCAGAAACATTTTATTCCTGCAACTACTTTTTGTTCAGCAAGAAATAAATTGTTTCCTAACAGAAATTACTTTTTTTAATAGAAATAAATTTTTAATAGAAATAAATTTTATTAAACAATATTTAATAAAAATTGACTTTGCCCAAAGAATGTAGTATTGTTTATATATTTTGTTATTCCACAATATTATTAAAAACATCTTATGTTAACTTTATATTTATATCAACTCTAAAAAACACTATAAACTAACAATAATATCCACACAATTGTTATCAGTAATTGCTTTTTTTAATATTAAAAAATATATTATTTATATATAAAATATATTACTGCAATATATTATTGGTTTGTTGAGGTCTCAGCATCAGATCAGATCATTGTCAGATGCTCAGAACAAAGTAAGTTTTTAATAAGCAAAAAAAAATTCAAAACAAACTGAGTAGTTGTTCAGAATGACTAATCAGTATTGATAATAACATTAAAAGTGAAATATAAAATTGAAAAAGATTCACAAACATAAATTGTCAATATATTTTTTATCTGTTATTGTTATTTTATCTGTAATATATTTTTTATCTGTTATCTATTATTTTTTATATTTATGCGGCAGTGGTGTAGTGGTAAGAGCGCTCGCTTTGTAAGCGAGAGGTTCGGAGTTCGACTCCCACCACGTACCGCGAAGTGGAAGTACCGTGCTCAACTTAGTTTCTCCGCGCAGCGGCCTTGCTTGTCAAGGTTCGTGTTTCGGAGTTAAAGAGTTGAGAGAGGGTTGTACCACGAAATACAACAAAAAAATAAAAAACACAAAAAAATGAGTAGCCTCCTCGACTGTAGTGGCCCCCTCGGGCCTTGGGGAGGTAAATAATGTAAAAAAAAAAAAAAAAAAAAATCTGTTAACATTTTCTAAACCAATTTTAAACTTTTTGCTATGTAACCTGCGGTATGGATATGGAAGATGTCTTCTCTACTAATTCTGACAGAGATATCTTCAAAGAGGATGACTGGAGTCTAAAATTTGTTGAAAAAATATTTTTAATTGTTAATTTATTTGATATCACCATTTTTTAAATAAACTTTTAATTTTAGTATCTCAGTCGGAGATAGAAGCAAAAAAAAAAGCATTCAGAGATAGTAACACAAAATTTTAAACCAAAAGTTAATGCCACTTATCTACTGATGCTGTACAAACTTACTGATACAATTATAATCGTAACCAAAAGATCTTGAATTAAAAAGGGCTATTTAACTATTGCAACTGACTGTATTAGATTTTTATTCACAATCCCATAGCTAATTAAATTTTAGGTTTTTATCATTTTGTTTAAATTTTCCTGAATTTAACACTTTGTTTGTAAGTTTTGAGGTTTTATATAAGTCTGCTGTTAAAATAATTTCCTGTTCAACTGTAACATCATCTTTGAACTTAGTTTACTCAAATGGGGGAAGTCTGGATAGTTTATCACATTTTAAAACAAATCCACAGCTCCGTAAAATAAACTTTTTTAAATTTTTATCTTCTGATAGCAATCTATTAAATATTTAAAAATTACTTGCATGATTACACACTAAGGTTGTACACCAAAAGCACTGTTAAAAAAAAGTAAATATTTCAATGGTTTCATTTCTCAATCAATTACTATAAATTTTTATAACTGAGGCAGTTTTTATAATGTATGGAATGTTTTTATTATTTAATAAATGTTCTTAAAAATTTTCTAATGTATACCATTTTCAAAACGTTCAGACTTGTTTCACCAGGGTATTCTGTATATACATATCTTAGAATATTAAACAGATATTGTGCAACATTTGGGGCACTTTTTAGTAATAGTTTTACATATTGTATTGCGCCAATATTACCAAAATGTATTTTCAATAAAGAAAGCAATGGAAAACTTTTCAAAAGAATTTTTAATGGTGATATAATGTATGCTTTATTATTATTATTTTTTTCAAGTTCTTTAAAAACCAAAACAAACTAAAAAAAAAAAAAAAGATTCTGCTTGATTTTGTACGTAAGTAGGAAAGTGTGCAAACATACATATGCAGGGTATTTTAATGACTATAAAAAAACACTGTGTAAAAATAATAGAAAACTCTTGTAAAATATTCTCATATAAGCTCTCAGCAACTTGTTTAATAATCTTAATAACTCATGGTATGTAAACAATAACTTGTGGTATTAATTAACTTAATATGTGGTATTAAGTATCTCAATAACTTCTGGTATTAAACAATAACTTGTAAAATGCAACATAATAATTAAGTTTTAACATTTGGTAGCTACATACTATACTAGCAATGTATTTAAAATTGTGTGCTCAATATTTTTTTAGTATTTACAGTTTTAAACATTTTGGAACAGAAACGTTGAACTGATTAATTACAAGAATCTCATAAATACATAATTATTTGCAATAGTTATTTGTCCATGAAACTTGGATGAATAGTGGGTTTTGTTTATAATCTTTTATTAAACAGAATCTTTTAGCATGCTATCCTCGTTTTATTAGGCAGGATCTTTAGGTCAGTTCTCATTGTTTTGTTAAGCAGGATCTTTTAGCCTGCTCACCTAGTTTTAAAGTATTTTTTGCTTGAAAATGTTTTACTCAACAGATGAGCTAGTTGGCATATAACAGATGAGCTAGTAACATATAACAGATGAGCTAGTTGGCATACAGTTTAGCATATTTACAAATAACTTTATCATTTAAACTTTTTATGGTTCATAAGTATTCATTGATATTGACAAAACTTTTTGTAACTTTTTATGGTTTGTAATTCCTTATTGACATTAAATAATAATACTGTCACTACATCTTGTTTTAAATCGTTTAATAAATAGCCAACAAGACAACATTCAATTTTTTTTTGTTCTACTAACAGAACTAACTCTTAGTTTATATTGTGCAATTATTAACCTTTCATTCAAAACCGCAAAAAAACTGATATTTTATTTTTTCGGCAAAAATGAAAACTATTAATAATAAAATATTATAGGCTGTATACTATAAGTAGGGCAAGAATAATTTTTTAATATTTTTTGGTAACTCTTTTTACTATATTTATTTGTGAAATTTATTTAAGTTTTGTTTTAAATATGTTAATTATGTTATATAGGAAATAAATGGCAGCAAGCTATTGTATATATCAATAGAAGAACATCTCCATTCAACATTAGATTTACTGCAGAAAGATCAACTAGTTTTACTGGTGATATTGCTATTGATGACATTTCTTTGCAAAATTGTGCTCTGCCAAAGCCTTCCCAATGGTGTTATACTGGCTACTATTTCCAATGCATTAAAACAAAAGCTTGTATTTCTTATTCCCGAATGTGTGATTTTACTGATGATTGTGGTGATAATAGTGATGAAGATAATTGTCCATTTAGATACTACCCATACAGGTATGAATTAATTTTATATTTATTTTAATTAATAGCTACTCTTAATCTTACATAATTATTTTTTAGTTAACATTTAATTGGGTAGTTATTGTTAATTTATTTCTTAGTGACTTGTGAAATGTTGTTTTAGATGTAATTTTGAAAGTAGTTTCTGTCAATGGCAAAATCTAAAAGATGATCAATTTGACTTTACTCGAACAAAAGGTGTAACTGATTCTGATGGTACTGGTCCTTTGTTTGATCATACAACTGGAACAACATCTGGTACTTGTTTTTTTCACTGCTCTTTGATCTAATTATTTTAATTCCTATTCTCTGATTTGTTTTTATTAACATACTTGCTATTAAAATTTTTGTATACACAGAAGCTTTAGATAAACACAATGTAGATCAAATCAAATAAAGTAACATTTGAATTTTACCATTTTAGCCATTAAAATATAAAGAAGTAATAAACATTTATGAAGACATTGAGAATATAAGGATCAAATTATATATGACCAAAACAGAAGTAATAGACACAGAAAAATTATTTTACATTTTAGGTTTTTACATTTATGCTGAATCTTCTTATCCACGACAGCTTGGTGACAAAGCTCGAATAGCATCTGCAGCATTAAAACCTACTGATCCGCAAAGAGCTTGTTCTATACGCTTTTACTATCACATGGTGGGTGATCATATTGGAGTTCTTCGTGTTAAGACTAGACAATGTACAAACTGTCCAGAGACAACTGTATGGACCCGTTCTACACCAGCAGGCAACTTTTGGGTGCGAACAAGTATTCGTTTGACCAGCATTTTACCATTTCAGGTAGAAGTTTACATTGGTTAAGCTTATCAATGCAAATTATGCATTACAATGCATAATTTAAGCTTATTAACGCAAATTATGCATTATAATGCAAATTGCACGTATATTTTCAAAGTAGAACTTTTTTGATTCTTTATTAAAATTCAATTTTTTGTTTTTTAAAAATAATCATTTGAACTAATTTTAAAAAGATTTTAAAACTGTTTTTATGTAAAGGTGATCATTGAAGCAGAAATAGGTAGTGGATACTTAGGTGATATTGCAATTGATGATGTGTCCTTTGATGAATGCAATGATTTTTACGGAATATTACCAACAGCAATCCCAACAACTCCTACAATTCCAACCACCACTCCGTGTCTTTCTGATCAGTTTTACTGCATGAAAGACAATAAATGCATTACAAAATATTATGTTTGTGATTACAGAAATGACTGTTCTGATGGTCAAGATGAGCAAATTTGTGGTAAGCTGTTGAAACATTTATTTCTTCTATATAAATGCAGGAATTTAAAGTGATCGTCCATTGTAAAAAAAATAGAATCAAAGAAATTTTGTGAGGAGTTTTTAAAAAAAGGTCTGCATAAATGTTACAATAGTTTTATGTTTACATGAAAATGTTCAATATCTCGAAAAATGAAAACCTCTAAATTGATAGATTTATTAAAAAGCCAAGCAGCTACTATTTAGAAGAAAAATGTCATAATAATTACACAATTGTGTGCAATTATTATCTTTGATTATATATATAAATATATATATATATATATATATATATATATATATATATATATATATATATATGTATATGTATATGTATATGTATATTTATATATATATATATATATATATATATATATATATATATATATATATATATATATATATATATATATATATATTATATATGTATATATATATATATAAATATAATATATTATAATATATAAATATAAATATATTATATATATATATATAAATATGCTATATATATAAATATTAACATAATTCCTACAATATATATATATATATATATATATATATATATATATATATATATATATATATATGATTTATTTTATGATTAACATCAAAATATCATTACAACATGACTTTATAAATGATTATGAAATGATTATGATATAGATGATGTTGATCATAAAGATGGTTATTTTGAAATTGGATTATAATGTGACTTTAAAGATGATTATGATATAGCAGATGTTTTTGTATCATATAAGTGGTTAATTTGAAATACAATTGTAACTTTAAACTTTAAACTGTAATTTATACACTTGACTGTTTTAGAGATTAAAAAATATTAATTAACATAATTAACAAAAAAAACATAAATTATTTTGTTATTTAGGACCTTGCAACTTTGAAACAAGTGGTTGTGGATACACAGATGCAAGTACTGGAAATCTTGAATTCCGTCGATCTCAGCCACTTAAAGAAGGAGGACCAAAATTCGATAAGACAAAAAACTCAACATCTGGTAACATTAAAAAAAAAAAAACCTTTATTATAAATTTAACTTATGTTGTTGATTATATATTATATATGTGTTATAAAAATATAACAATTATAAATTAAATTATATATTAGTATTACATACTTTTATGTAATTAAATTTATATAATTTTATATTAAAAATATCATTAATAATTTTCATTATTATAATTTTTAAATTTTTAAAGGTTTCTTTGCACTTCTTGTTCCGGGTAGTGGTAGCACTCAATATACTTTAGCAAAGTTCAACAGTCCAACTTTGTCGAAAACGGGTCCTAACTGTGTTTTGGAGTTTAGCTATTTTAGCAACAAATCAAATTATTTGGTGGTGTTCCATAACCAGGATGTCAATTCTAATAATGTAGCTTCTCGGGTTTGGTCTAAATATGTCAGTGGCAGCAATTCCTGGATTACTACTAGATTTGGAGTTGGTCAAAGACCTGATGGTAGCTTAAAAAATAATTTTAAAACAAAATAAAATATATTAATAAACATGAAATCTAAATGCTTTCCTTCTTTTATTTAGGCTGGTCTCTTTCTTTCCAAGCTCAGTATGTATATGCTGCCTATGATGACATTGTTTTTAAGAATTGTGATTACCCTGTTACAACAAATGTTTGTAACAAAATGCAGACGAGATGCGAAAGCGGAGTTTGTATTTATCCTTATCAAGTAATTTAATAATATTTTTTTTTATTGTTTTTTAATAAATTTGTGTTTATAACATTTGCTGTGAGTAATAAAAGTTAAGATTATAATAAACTAATTTTTTTTAATTTAATAGGATAATGTTAGATAAATAATAATATAAATATTACTAATAGTTAATAATAATGACAATAATAATAATAATAAAAATAATAATAATAATAGTAATAATAGTTTGTATATAAACAATATTGTTTTTTTTTAGATGTGTGACTTTACAAATGACTGTGGTGATAGCAGTGATGAAAAACTAGAAATATGTGCTAATTATAAAGAACGCTGTAACTTTGAAGTTGATACTTGCAACTGGTATCAGGATAAAGATGACGATTTTGATTGGACTTGGGGAAGTGGCGGTACTTCCTCATCAGACACTGGTCCCGGAACAGATCACACTGAAGGTTTTTATTTATTTTTTGTACTTAAATATTTTTTAAAAAAACAAGTATTTTAAAATTACTTTATGGATAATAATATTATAAATAAATATTAATTTTTTATATTATTTTTAGTTTTATTTAAATTCTAATCCTACAAAATAAAAGAGTGTTTAAAATTTTACTAGTAACTATAACAACAATAATCATAGCTAATATCAGTTTAATAAATATATAATAACAAATAATTAAAATATTTAGTTATTACAAACATACTAAATATATTTTATATATAATATCAAACTAATATCAATTTACTAAATATAAATTAAAAAAAATTTATATATATATGTATAACCTTTTAGGAACTCGACTTGGTAAATATTTATTTATTGAAACCTCTTCACCTCGCAAGCCTAATGACACAGCACGTTTGTTAAGTACAGTTTTCCGACCTTCAAACGGAACATGCACAATGAGATTTTTTTATCACATGTTTGGTGAAGATATTGATACTCTCAGTGTATGGTTAAAAACATCTACTGCAGCTAGCTCATTAATGCAACTTTTATGGAGCAAAAAAGGTAATGACTGTATATATGTTACACTTGTTTGTTAAAATTAAATTTTGAAGAGTTGTTTTTTTTTTTTTTTTTTTTTTTTTTTTTTTTTTTTTTTTTTTTTTTTGAGTGAAAGAAAAAAAAAAAGTTTTTTAATTTATTAAATTTTTTTAATAATTTTTTGTTTTTTAAAAAAATTTAATAAGTTTTTTTAATAATTTTAAAAGTTAAAGATTAAAACAAAAAAAGAGAAATTTTTTTTTTTTTTTTAAAATTTTTTTTAAAAACTAGTAGGAAGTTCTGGCAGAAGTTTTTACAAACTAAATTTTCAAACTTATTTAGGAAAAACAAATGAGTATATGGACTGATAGTTAATAAAAATATCAAATTTCAATTAATAAAATATTACAAATAATTTAAAGTTTTAAGAAAAATAATGAAAAAAAGGTTTTCTCTGTATTATTTATCTAAGTTTGCGTTCTTTATTTCGCTACCAAATATTTGTACTAAATAAACATCCTGTCTACTATGACGGACCAGTATAAGTATACATATATACATATATGTGTATGTATATATATATATATATATATATATATATATATATATATATATATATATATATATATATATATATACATATATATATATATATATATATATATATATATATATATATATATATATATATATATATATATATATATATATATATATATATATGTATATATATTTATATATATATATATATATATATATATATATATATATATATATATATATATATATATATATATATATATATATATATATATATATGTATATATATTTATATATATATATATATATATATATATATATATATATATATATATATATATATATATATATATACATATGCACAATTTTTTTTGATAATAAATTGAAAATGTTTTATTTTTTGATTTTTCTTTTTTTTTCAATACCATGTGTATGTATCTATATATTTTTTTTTTTTTGCAGGTGATCAAGGCGATATATGGCTTGGTGCTAGTATTGATATTATGAGCACAAAGAACTATCAGATTGCTATAGAGGGACGCCGTGGTTTAAGTTATTCAGGTGATATAGCTATTGATGATATATCATTTACAATTGGTTGTAATCCTGATATGAAGGCAACTCTTGATCCAACTATGGTTACACCATCTCCTCCTCCTGGCTGTAAAGGCGGAGAGTTTGCGTATGTCATTAATATTATGTAGTATAACTTATTTTTAGTTGTTGCGATAAGTTATGTGTTTAATTTTTTTAAATAATTTAAAGTAAGAGTATATGTTCTTGGTTTTCAGTTGTGGTGATGGTCAATGTATTCCTGCCTCCCAATATTGTGATTTCATAAGTCATTGCAAGAATGATGCTGATGAAAAACGATGTCCATCAAAATGTGACTTTGAGAATGGTGATGGTTGTATGTGGACCAATGCCTACTATGGTGATTCTATGGATTGGACAGTTCATCAAGGAAAAACACCTAGCAATGATACTGGACCTCCATATGATCACACTAAAGGAACTCCAGAAGGTACACAATTTAAAAATAATTTATCAAGTTATTTTAATATATAACTATAATTTTTTTTTGATATAATTTTTTTTATAATCATTATTCACATTAATTTATATAAATTAATAGGTTCATATAATAAATATTTTATTAGTTATATTAAAATAACTTCAGTTTTAACATCCTGACAGTTTTGTTTAGCTCAGCTAAAATATTTTGAGGAATTAAAAGGTCTTTGCTTGTTACCATAGTTACCATAGTTTAAAGTAATCCAAAAGAAAAATAAATGAAATTTAATGATTAAGAAATTATTAGAGAATTGAAATTGTTATAAAAATTAAAAAAGCAAAATATTTTTGATCCAGGATATTACTTGTATATGGAAGCAGACCAATCAAAAGGATCAAATTTCCCGAATGCACACTATGTTAGTCCAATGTACTACAAAGGAGGGTATAAATGTACATTTTCGTTTTGGTATAATATGTATCATCTCAAAGTTACTGGTGGAAATGACGCTAGTTTGAATATATTGTATCGCAAAAGTGGACGAGATACCAAGGTTTGGCAAAGTTCTCAGTCCACTGGAGATCAATGGAAAAATGCAACTGTTGAGTTACCTCCATGCCCAAAGAACTTTAGGGTACATTTTTTTATGAGTGTGGATCTTTTTTTTTAAATGAACTTGTAGCTATTTTTAATTTATAAATTTAATTTTTTGTTCTTGTAGATCGTATTTGAAGGTAGTCACTATTGGGGTACACAGACAGATGCTGCAATTGATGATTGGAGTTTTGATTGTGCTGAACCTGTTCCTCCCTTGTCTTGCAACAGTGATCAGTTCCAATGCAAAGAAACTAAACAGTGCATACCAATTGATTCACTTTGTGATTTAGAATCAGACTGCTGTGATGGGTCCGACGAAAGCGCAGCTTTGTGTAAAGATTATAAAAAGTAATGGCTTTAAATATTTATTATTTTTTTTAAATGAAGTTTTAATTTACAACTGCAAAAATGTGATGAAGATCAAGATCTAAAGTTTTTTATTTAAATTTTCAGGCTTGACTTTGAATCTGGTTTAAATGATTTTGTACAGTTGACAAGTGATGATTTTAATTTCGATATTCAAAGTGGAAAAACATCATCATCAGGCACTGGACCTAAAACTGATCATACTTTAAAAGAGGAGCATGGTAACTAAATGATTTTTAAGAATCAAAATAAGAATTGGATTTTTTTACGTTGATTTTTTGAACGTTCTTGATCAATAAATTTTATTTCAATGTTTTAGGAAAATATGCTTATATTGAAGCATCTGTTAGAAGTGAAAATGACACAGCGCAGTTAGCTAGTAGTACTATTGCAGCTACCAAACCAGGAAGCTCGCCAACATGTTTTGTATCCTTTTGGTATCACATGTATGGTATTCACATTGGCACTTTGTCAGTATC